AGCATAGTCCCTGAAACACTGCCACCTACTTTTTACCCTTAGAATCTCCTATAGCCCCAGACAGAAGAGATCTACACTGCTGGGCACATGGACCCCAGATCCATCTTTGCACAGGCTCCTGGCCATGCCTTCTAACATACACCCATCAATGAGATGAAAAAGTCAGGGCTGCAGTGTGGGAACAGATGCCTGTCAATGGGTTGCCAGTATTTCTCCCAAGGATACAGCTCCTCATTTTCATAAATTACCTCTCCCAGACCCAAAAAGAGAGGCTGAGCTGCTTCATTTTCTTCCTCCAACTACATACTTTTTCAATTCATTTTTTCTGCCCAAGTATAAGATTTTTTAAATCCTTGGCACTGTGTTACCCTTCATTAGCAATATCTCATTCTGCTCTAATTTCTGCAGGTCATTTTGCTACTTAGTTCTATTTTTTTCCTCTGCTCTTCCAGCCTTTGTGTTATCTGTACATATGATCATGACTGAAATCTACTATAGAAAGACTTGACCCAAAAACCAAACAAATTGAGAAGCAGCCATCTGGGGTGAAAAGAGATAGGTTTGTAGTTGACTTACATGGTAAAAAATAACCTCTGTGATGAGCTCTGGCTCTCAGAAAGCCTTAATACAGGAAGAATAACCACTATTTCCCACTGTGATACCAGTGGCTCTGCAGACCACCATGTGAAAACCACTTACCCAGGACTGCTTCCTTATCCTCTCTTTTTACCAAGGTGTATGTTTTTAAGTTATAAAAAAAATAAACAGTACAAGGTGAGTGGGTGAAATGTGATGATCTGTATAACGCAGTAATTTAGACTGGACAATTTTATGCTCCTTTCTTACATTAAAAATCTTCACTGTATCCAGGTACTTCCACTTGAATAACAAAAGGATAGGGTTTAATTAGGCAGTTATATTTAGAACCAGTGCCTGTAACATCCAGCTGAAGTGAATATTTGTAAAAGCAAGCATCTGTGAAACCTAAAACCAACAAGAAGCATTATCTGATTATATTTTTTAAATCTTTCTTGACACACCTTTAAAAGATTACTTAAATTCTTTTGAAACCCAAATATTCAAAAACAAAAACTGCAAAGATAAACTAGTTCTTAAAAAAAAAAAATAAATTAAAAAAAGTTGGCTTAATTATTGTCTCTAATTCAAATAGCAGAAATGAGAAAAAAAAAACAAAACACAAAACAGAGTACTAGGTCTCCAAGTTTTGGAATAGACACTCAGAAAGGAGACATCTACCAGACTGCTAACACAGCATTAGTAGTGTCAGCATCTTGCAAAATTTAGCCAGTGACTATTTAGAGCTCTGTGCACCTACACAGAGAACACATGAATACACACATCCTCTTACAAATGTGGAGAAAGATTTATTTACTCCTAGTGTATCTTAAATTGTGTACTATGACGTACTTCTTGATGGTATTAAATTGCCAGTCTTTCACCTGGGGTCATATTCTCCTTCTTTTCAGGTCCTATACTGCACCCAAACAAGCTACAAATAAATAGTTTTCCTGACTACATCTTTAACAAGAGTGTAATTGATTTACTCTCAAACTTATGTCTTTATGGTCAGAGCCCATTTACAGCACTTGAGCCCAGCTCTAGCTACATTGCTGTTAATCATAATGGGTTAGTTAGTAGGTTAACACCAGGACACAAGTTATCTGAGTAATTATATGCTAGAAGTTAAAATCTCATGAGACAGCCTCTTTATTAGGATTACTTTGTGCTACACTAAAAATAATAATTAAAAAAACAAAACAAACAAAAAAACCAACACTGCTAGTCTTGCAGCTCCTGGATATGTAGTTAGGAGCTATATTACAGATGAAATACCAGAATAAGTCCTGCTTCAGCCAGGAAGAAAAGTTAATACAAATTTCAGAATGCATGAAGTTCTGTATACCTTAGTCTCTAAGAATTTTAATGCAGTTCCCAGGCTGAACCAGAAGCCCTTGAGTACTGGTGTTAATTTAAAGATCAACAAATTAGCAGTTCTGCCCCTCCTGACTGCAGCAGCCCTCTAAGCCACTGGCTTCAGGCCCATGAGAGTCTCAGGCAGAAACTGTAACAAGAATTGTTCCCCTCTCACACACATGGTGCATTTAATTCCTATTTAGCACAATCAATGTTGGAGTCCTGACCGATTTCTCTGGTTGATATCTTTCTCAATGAGAACAAAAAATACTATTTTCTGTAGGGGAGCACAGACCTCATTACTCTCAGCTGTGGAGGTAGGTGGTAAAATGGGTGTGGGGAGAAGTGGAGGCTGGACAGGCAGCTCTCCTCTGTCTTCACAAGAACTCTACACCCCAAAGGCCACGGTGGTGCCAGGCTAAACAGCCACAGAAAAAAGTTTGTTTCTTGATTCATATCTGAGGAGGGGATTTCCTCTACTCATGCCCAGTTTACCACCTTTTATTCAGTCTGTGGAAGCCAACCCCTTTAGCCAAGCACTGCCCAAGCACACAAATGAAACAAAAAAAGCTTTTTTTTTTTGTTTAATAGACAATGTGGACTCTTCTGTCTCTGTTTGCTGAGGGCCTTATTGTAATACCTGGTCCTTGGCTGCTGCAGCCAGTGGTGTGTAAAGTCATTTGCCTTCATGGGTGCAGTGGGACAGAAGGGTGGTTACCTCCTTACCTCTCCAGAAGTCAATGTATGCAAAGGATCACAGGATGTGACAGTGGAAAGGACCTGAGGAGGTCTTACTCCAATTTCCTGCTCAAAGCAGAATCAGCAGGGAGGTCTGATCAGGTTATTCAGGCCATTATGCAGCCTAATGTTGAAAATCTCCAAGGATTAAGAAAGTGCAACCTGTCTAGTTGTTTCATTCCCATCTCACCAGTTAGATGCTAATGAGAATATTTTGAGGCAAGATGGGAACAGAGTATGGCTTGTAGGAAACACACATTCCTAATCACAGGGTATGGAGCAGAGGATGAGGAAAGGTCCTTGAGCTGTCCTACAGCTCTGAAGGGTCTTGGATAAGCTAGTCCTTTGAAAGCTCTGCAACCTTCATTAATTCAAAACTTAAGCCTAACATTTTATGTATCTATTATTTCCCATACAAAGCCATATTTTTTTCCTCTTTGTTCCCACAAATCCCTTACTCAAAAGTAAAGAGAAGTGCTTCAGTTACAAACTGGCATTATGTGAGCCGGGATGCTCTGCAATAGAAACACACGGTACTCAAGGGCAATGTGTCCTGAAGTGGCTCTCAACTCTCAAGACCCACTGTGAATGAAGAATTCATTTTAATTCTTGAACCGTCTGCCTGGGGAAGTAAATCTAACAACCGATTGATCATCAGCCACTGAAAAGCTCTGGTGCATATGTTTAAACATGTAGTCAGTCCTAAATAGCTGTGTGTCACTGTCATAGCAGTGTGCCACTGACACTCAAGCACCATCACTTGGAAAAGAAATCAGGCAAAATTACTCTTTCAAATGAACTGACACACTAAGCCGCAAGTTCCAGGAAATGGAAAACAAAACATCTGCTTTCCGTTACGCCGTGGTACTGGGAATTGAAGAAAATACCACTCACAGCTCTGAATGTCTTAGTTTGGCAACAGAGTAGCCAATTTATGGAGTTTACTGTCATGTACAATTTGTGCTGGAGAGCTACAAACAGTATGAAAATGTACTATGTAGAGCTGCTGATGGAGAAACATTGAGTCCAGGAGTTGGCAGCATTGTAACTCTAAGTAGGGAACATGGTGCACTGTTCAAATGGGCATTCATAGTGGAAACAATGCTGTGAAATTGGGCTGAGATCCTCTACATCCCAAGATTACCACAATACCCTCACATATTTAGGGTATATAACAAGCTTTTGATAATTCCGTTCTTTGGGAAAGTGATTTATTTCATAAATGTAGAGAAAAATATCAGTGAGTCAACATGTTCTTGTCTCTCAGTTCTCAAGTAGCGCTACGGTCTTATATGGTACTAAAGTTTTTCTGATCAAATGGGAACACAACAACACAAGAAACTCAGAAAGTCATGCTAGACAATTAGTTTAGATCTTGAAAAGTTAACAATCAGACAAAGCAAACTGGAAGTGTAAACAAAGCTCATGGAAAGCTTTAGACAAGAGGAATAATCTGCAAGTTTCCACATTAGAAACAATATCTGCTTAAGTCTACAAGGTATATAATGCAAACTCAGTTAATGCCTGTTTTCTTTTCCTGATGTTTGCAGCTTGGTAACTTCATAAAAAAAACAAACAAACAAAAAAAAAAAACAAACCAAAAACATAAGTTTCTTTTACTTAGAAAAGAAAAAATACACAATGACTTCAAAGCTGAAAGTTTACATAATAATACATAAACTCAAGAGAATTGTCCCAGCCGATCTGTGAACGTGTGAAAATAATTGAGATATTACAAACGAAACAAGTAGACCTCCACCATTGCAACCAGTAAGATTGTTTCATAGAGAAGTGTAACATACCCCTTACTGCAGCCATGAAGTTATATTGCTTTCTGTATTATTCAGTGTAGCTTCATGGTAGGTATCACTAGACTGCCTATACAAAAATCATCACTTTGCTGACATTCCTATTCCTCCATACTGACTCCAGACCAAAAATAGACTGCAACACACACTGACAGACTGAAAACACCTTGATTAAAATTTACTAACTGTGCAACACCTTGCATTTCAAAAATACAGGGAAATGAAAACATCTTGAGATCAGCAATCCTGTAGAACCATCATCGATACTAACAACACTTTTACATAAAAATAAAAAAGCAAATCCTGCCTAGAACAGCATAAAATGCACAGGGCTTGTAAGACACAGCAATAAATTGCAGCCATAAGTCTCATTCAAATGTGGCAATGCATATGGAGTTATTAAGCAGCAAAAAAAAATTACACTGGGAGCTCAAGGTCAATATATTCTACACCTTTTCCCTCCAGAAAAATTTGCCTAAATGAGGATTTCATTCTCCATCACAAAAGTTTGTACCATACCTTTGTCTTCATGTCCACCACATAGCTATCAAAAGTCTGGTTCTCCTTCTTGGGTTCACCACATTGTCTAGATCCTTCTGATCCATTGGAAGCAGCAGACTAGAGGGGGGGAGAAAAAAAAGTAGCTGAGATGTGCACTGTAATTCTATTACCCTTAAATGTAAAGATTAGCATGCATATACAAAAGGGTAGCCTGAATTCAGGTGGCTCATATATAAGATTTTCAGTTCAACGTTCAGAGATGCAAAAATTTCTGTGTTTAATCTTATAGCCACTCTTATGGAAGTCTGTGAAAGTCTTAATAGGCTAAATCTACAAGATAATGTTTATCATAATCTCTTGTTGACTTCAGAAGGCATTCAAGGTGCTCTGCTGCTCTCAGCATCAGAACATAGAGATAAGGAAGGAAATCAGTGCCCTGACAAAAAAAGCCTGTGGATGGTAATGGGGTTCTCATCTGGAGTAGCTGCAGGAATAGATTTCTGTAAGGCACCAGCTGAATTTCCTGGTTTGTTTTCTCTTTCCTAACTCATGGCATTCTCCTAAGTGAGAGGATTTCATATTTGTGTAGTAGCCATATTTCCAAATCTTCTAATTTAAAATGGTTTTTTTTGTTACCATTCCTTCATTTACACAGATTTCAATCTTACATTGCTTACAGAAACCCTCATAAAACATGTAGCATTTTTTCAAATAATATCTTTAATTGAAGATACAGTAAAAAGCTATATTTGTTTTGATCAATTTTACTGCTGGAAATCTAACACATTATTGCACATTTTGCATTAAGACAGCAAATTTTATAAATTATATATCTGTTTAGAGTGCTCTGCCCTGCAAAAAAATATGCTTGAAGCTAGCCTTTGCATGAAACATGATGACTGCCACTAACTCGAATGGCAGGAAATTTCTGGGCACTTTGCAAGAGCACGAACAGGAATGCAGAGTGAATTGAAGCAGAGTACAGTGTCTTCCTTGCATCTGCTGGTGCTGAGCATCACAGAGACCCTGAGTGATTTACACCCAACCTTTTTCAGCCTGTACACCAAGAACACAGTCAATTTTAACACAACTAGCAAGACATGGTTAACATTTTAAAATAGACCAACCATTGCCAGCACAACTTTGAAAACAACAAGCCAGTGCCACAGAAACAGCCAAATCACATCCACATGTGCAAATGTTTTCTCCTCTGATCCTACCTTGTTTATGTAGGGCTCCATCCAGCAAAAGACAGAATGCTGACCCCAATCCAGGCAACTACTTAGACAAGTGCTTTCAGCTTCACTAGAACCAATGGCAGTAGTCTTGTGCTCCAGTAAAGAATGTGTTTAAACATTGGATCAGGCCCAGCAGCTCAGCACTATGCTGGACTGCATGCATGTCCTCTCTAAAGTCAGCTTCTCTAACAACGTCGTGGTTTGGGCCTAACTGAGAACAAGGAACCAACATGACCACTCACACACACACAGACTGGGACAAAAAACAACTAGAAGCTCATGGGTCAAGACAAAGACAAGGAGGGTTCACTCACCAGTTATGGTCGTGGGCAAAACAGACTCAACTTGTGGAAAAAATATCAATTTATCACTAATTAAATGCAAACAAAAACCAGAGCTTAAATACTTTGCCCCACTCCTCACTTCTTCCCAGGCCCAAAATACTTTGTTTCCGATTTCTCTACTTCATAATCATAGAATCATCCTGGTTGGAAAAGACCTTGAAGATCATCAAGTCCAACCTCTTTCCCCGTAGTGGCACAGGGGGGCAGAGAATGGGGTTTAGAGTCAGTGTGTCACATGCTGTTTCCTGCCACTTCTCCCCCCTACAGGAGCAGGATTTCTCACAGTCTTCCTCTGCTTAACCCTGGGGTCCCTGCCATGGGAGATAGTCCTTTATGAGCCTCTCTGACATGAGTCCTTCCCACAGGGTGCAGTCCTCAGGAGCAGACTGCCCCAGCTTGGGCCTCCCACAGAGTCACAGGCTGCTTTGGGAACAGACACCTCCCCTGGCATGGGGTCATTCACAACTGCAGGTTCCAGTCCATGGGCTGCAGATCCACACCTGCTCCACTATGTTCCTTCAGGAGATGCTCTGCTGTGCTCCTCCATGAGTGCAGGAGGACAGCCTGTCTTCTCACCACCTCCTTCTTCCTCACCTATCTTGAGAGCTGCTCTCACCTCTGCTTTCCTTCTCTGCTCTCCAACTCTGCTCTCCTCCAATGCCCTCAGATTTCCCCTATCATATGTTAATCCCAGAGGCACATCCATTATCTCTCTCCTGGCTAGGCCTTAACCAGCAGTTTGGAGCTGGGGGAGCTTTTCAGCTTCTCACAGGAGCCACTCCTGGGTCCCCTCCCTTGGTACCAAAACCATGTCAGAACCAAACCAGCACAAACATGCTTATAAGCACAGAGAACTGTGCAGTAGTTCAGCTTCTTTCTCATTACCAAAGGGTGTTGTATGTCTCTGCATTTGTAATCTGGGAGGAAGGAAGGGATATCAAAGCAACCAGGCCAGAATTATGCAGGACAGCAAGGAACTGAACCCAGGTCTCACACTTTGCCTCAGAGATAGCGAAAATCCAAGCAACTCCCTAAGTGTTCCTTTCAGGAAGGGAAAATTTGCTTTACAAGGAGAAAAAAAAGCATGCATAATGATTTTAATTTCATCTTTGCTTTTTTGAATACCTGACAGAAGTGTTTCCCATTATTATTATTTACAAGCAAAATATAAACTATGCATAGAAATATATTATTTATTTGCTGTCATCATCAAGGCCAAACTGCCTAGTCCTAGATGATCCAACCTCCTGCAGCTTCTCAAAAGAGGTCTGACAATTTGCAGCAGAAACTACAGACCGTATGGTAGCGCTTATCAAATGAATGCAGCTGCAAAACTGGACAAGGAACTTTAGTTTGTTTATATTCTACATATTTTTGCCTCAAATTTTTCACCGTTAGCTGACTCCAATATTTTGAAGAACATAAAACAATGTCATAAGAGACTATGAAATGTTTCAATTGTTTTCCTTAGGGAATGGGTCACAGATTAATTGTGAAGAGCAGCAAACCAAGGACATTAGCAGGGTACAAATGGCTCAAGAGTAACTGTAATAAATCTGGAATGTCCCTCTCTTCCAATGCATTAAGGTTCAACAAGTGTTAGCAAAATAATATATGGTTCCCAAACTTGAACAAAATATAGGTTAGCAATCCATCTGAAAACCCATGGTCATTTAACTTTGTGCCATTAAATAAATGGGACTGTATAATGCAAGAGGCAAAAAGGATACTAGTATTTTTGGATCTGAGTCTTTTCTTCTTGAATACATACAATCCTCCTTTTAGAAGCTAATCCAAAGCCTATGGTGTCTAAACTTGTTTGTTCATTTTCTTTCCCAAAGCTGCCCGTGCATGCAAAAGAAGCACTTCAGCAACACCTCATCATTCCTGAATCATGCAGGTCACCATGAGAAGCAGAACTGGCAGCCCCAGGGTGACAGTACGAATGCAGTGGAGCAAGTACACCATGCTGGTACCTCCTTGCAGGAGGTTCTGGAAATAATGACTTCAACTTGAATTAAAACCACTGACAAAAGTCTGCACAGTTATCAGACTCCTGTATCTAGAAGGCTGGTAGTTGGAACAACTGTATCTTTCTCTTCACAGAAAATGGTATTGTCATATTCTCTTCAAGTTGTTCTGAGAAAGAGGAGATTTTACAAGCAAATGCTGCAAAAGCAGATTAAAACTTTGTTTGTTAACTTTGCTCACATGGGAAGTAATCATGAGAATTGTAGATCACACCAAAAGCAATCTTCCAATTTTGTGTATAATTAAAGCTAATCTATTTAGATTATAATTAACAGGGTCTACTTAGACCATAATCTCTTCAGGGAAATGGCTCATTGTGCAAACTTACAGCATTATTTAAATGTTTATTAATAAAATACTAATCACATTAGCTACCTTGTTAATTTTTTTCTAATTTTAACAGTGCTCAGCAAAGCTCTTCTGTGCTTATAACATATCTCTCCTGTAGCTTATTAGAACATGCACGATTGTCACAGTCGAATGTCAACATTCATGCTGATTTTTTTTTGCCAGAGTACACAGTTATGAATTATGGAAGTATGTCACTGGTTTCCCTTTCAGCAGGCAGCATGTTCCAGTTCATGTCTGAGCCAGCAACCAGCCAGAAGGAGCATTTGCCCTCACAGGCAATTATGGCATATGAAGTTTCCAAGAGTTCCTACAGGAGGTCTTCCTGTAGCAGCCAAACCCTGTAATAGTGGATGAAATCGCCAGTTTATTGTATGGCTCTGAAATTAATACCTAATATAACAATTGAAGGTACTTTTAACCATGCACAATAGTTACCTCATTTTTACTTCTCAGACTGAGGCCCAGCATTGAGAACATAATTTTAAAAAAAAAAATAAGAAACATATATGCGAACATTATTCTCCTTTTCCATTCTCTTGGATGTTGCTGCCAGAACTTTGAATTTATTTACACACACACACCTGTATGGGATATTTTCTAGGGCACATATACTGGCAAAAAAATGCTGATCCACTTTGCAAAGGAACCAAGGGAGCTGCTGGGAGTGTGGGAGACCTACAGCCCATGAGCCTGAACAAATCTGCAGCTGCGTTAGGGTTCAGAGATCTAATGCACCTTCTCCTACTGCTGGCAGCTTAGGGAAGGCTCTCCTGTGTGCTTTTAGAGAGAGAAATTCAAAAAACAGAAGCTGATCTGAGACCTCCTTTGGTGTTTTGTATCATGAATGGGTAGCTCCGTTCCAGTCCTGTAAGAGCCCTTGACGAATGCCAGCTTGCCCCAAAGGATTTACATTAAAAGAGGAAAAGTATATAAAAAAACAGTAATCTTTTACTTTTGGATGCCAAAATCTGTCAGGAAATCTATCATCTTGGTAATAAATGCTCCAAGGAATATATAGTGCTGAGAGATACTTTTATTTAATTAACTTTTTCAAAAGTAAGCATTTTAAAAAATCATTAGAACATTTACAAAGCTACGGGGGGAAAGTAAAATACAACATAAAATATGCTGGAATTATCCATTTTACAGGACA